TGGGTGGGGGAGTGAGGAGGCATCCACCTCTAGGGGACAGTGGGGACAGTCGCACAAAGGTGTGTGGTGTACGAGACTTCGAGGAACGCGGGAGGGTCCCCCGGCGGCGGGCTCCCACGCCGGCCCCGCCGGCCCCGCCGGCCCCGCCGGCCCCACGCCCACGGAGTGTGCAGGAGGATATGTAGTTAGCGACTAGTAGGGTCGAAAAGTAGGGTCCGGCGAAAAGGCGAGTCACCGAGTGGGGTCGACGAGGAGGAGGAGGGTCCGCCCCAGGCGCCGCGTACGCTTGTTTGAGCTCGCTCCAGCCCGATTTTTCGACACTTGGTTCGTTCACTATGGCCTATGAACACCTAAAACGCGCGAGTGATACTTTTCGACCCTTCTAGTTGCTAACGACATCCTCCTGGGGACACGACACGCACTACGCTCGGGTAGAGATGCATGGCGACACGGTGGGTCATCGTGAAAGCACCTACGGCCTGTGATCAGCGGCGCCAGGCACCATGGGATGGGAGTCGTGCACGCATCACCATCCCTCGTGCCCGCCCGACCCCCGCCAACCTCCCTTTACCCTTTCCTGCGAGATAGCGACCTTGGCCAACGAGGCGCGGCGGCGGCGCTCGGCGTGCACACCTGTTGCTCGCTCCGCCCACACGTGACTACCCCCCCCCTCCCATTCCTCTCGCTTTTGATTTCACCACCTAACTTGGCCTGGGAATGGAATCTAAATGTATATGCGTACTGACGACGACCGTCCGTCTTTCCCGGCGGCGCCCCCCCCCCCCCTCTTTACACCACCGCGGTGGCGTGGCCTGGACGGGGCGGCGGCGCGGGGCTTTGCGTGCGTCTCGTCGGACATGAATACCAAGCAGGCCGCTGCCGTCGCCCGGGCTTGTCACCGTGTCGCGCTTGTTGGACGGGCAGAGTCACAAAACTTGCCAACACTCATTTCACGGTGAGAGAGCGGTAGCGAGCGAGCTGCAATTTGGTGCGCTGCCACTCTTCCTGGTGCGGCTGTATCTCACTCTCCCGCGCTCCATGTCTATCTCTCTCACTTTATGCGCCCCTTCCCACACCTTCTCTTTCCTCGAAACGTCGTAATCCAACCCGTCGAAGCGCAAAGCCAGCGAACGCCGCAGACTCGAGAGACGTTCGTTTGTTCCACAGAAGCTAAAAGAAAAGAAACTTGCAGCCGCGCGGCCGCGGGGTCGAGGGGGTCTTTGTCTAACTTGGTGCAGCCCAGACGCAAAACACTCGTGTACCTTGGTGTCGTTGATCCCGGACAGTTCGTGGAACTCCTCGCGGGTGATCATGAAGGCCGCGAGGTTGGCGGTGTAGATGGCGAGGAAGATGAGCGCGAACATGGCCCACACGTTGGCCATGCACCTGCGCACACAGAGTGATTAGGGCGAGGGGCTAGGTACTTCACTAAAAAGAAAAATCAGTGAGTACA